TGACTAAGGAGGATGCTAAAGACATGAGGTGGCACAAGGACTTGCGTGTCGATGATGATACGTTAAGGCATCCGGCAGATGGAAAAACTTGGAAACGATTCGATGAGGAACATAATTGGTTTTCAGCAGACCCTAGGAATGTTCGCCTTGCTCTTCTAAGTGATGGGTTCAATCCTTTTGGGAACATGAGCAATAGCTATAGCATGTGGCCTGTCGTGTTAACACCGTACAATCTCCCGCCTTGGAAATGTATGACAGAACCTTATTTTATTCTTGCTGTCCTTATTCCTGGAGAGAAATCGCCCAGTAATAACATACATGTGTACTTAGAGCCCCTAATAGAAATGTTGAGAGAGTTATGGGAGGATGGGGTCAGTACGTATGACGCACACTCAAACGAAACATTTCGTTTACATGCTGCGTTGTTATGGACAGTAAACGATTTCCCTGCATATGGCATGCTATCGGGCTGGAGTACGAAGGGGAGATTAGCCTGTCCTGTATGTAATAGTGAGACATGCTATGAACGTTTGGATTTTAGTCATAAAGAGTGTTACATGGGGCATCGAAGATGGCTTCCAAGTGACCATAGGTGGAGAAAAAGTCGGAAATTTGATGGGAAGCATGAACTTAGAGGCAAACCAAGAGTGTTGTCTGGGGATCAACTTTTGCAGCAAATAGATAAGGCCTTTCTCTCTGATGTGATCGTGAATGATTGTGGGAAAAGGAAAAGGGGAGGTTCTGATGATATTCCACATAACTGGAAAATCAAAGCTTCATTTTGGAGTTTGCCATATTGGAAAACTATAGAGTTGAGGCATAATTTAGATGTTATGCATGTTGAAAAAAACATTAGTGAGAATGTGATAGCTACACTACTAAATATCGAGGGTAAGACCAAAGATACAGCCAATGCTAGACGGGATTTGGAAGATATGCGTATTAGGAAAGAGCTACATCTGGTGAGAGACGGTGATAAGTATAAAATGCCTCCCGCTTTATACACCATAAAAACCGCAGAACGAAGGCCATTTTGTGACTGGTTGAGGTCGATCAAATTCCCAGATGCTTATGCATCTAATATATCCCGGTGTGTGACTACTGATGGTCGGTCAATCACTGGCATGAAAAGCCATGATCACCATGTCTTCATTCAACGCCTTCTGCCTGTTGTTGCACAAGGGTTCCTGAGCAAAGAAGTATATAATATATTGTCTCAACTTAGTGAATTCTTTCGTGAGTTGTGTTCAAGAACGATATCGAAGTCCACTGTCAGGAAACTCAGTGATAACATTCCAGTTATACTTTGCAACCTGGAAATGTTGTACCCACCAGCTTTCTTCGTCGTGATGATGCATCTGCCTATTCACCTTCCCCGCGAAATTGAGCTCGGGGGACCGGTGCAGTATCGCTGGATGTACCCAATGGAGAGGTACACCCTGAGTCACGCACATTAATTTTTTTCTCCGACTTTTTATATAACGTAGCTAACTTTGGTATTATGACGTTTTCTTGGTTTTGATTTAACTAGGTTTTTAGGAACTCTTAAATCTTATGTTTCTAATAAGGCCCGTGCGGAGGGATCGATTGCCGAAAGGTATATAGCGAAAGAATGTTCAGATTTCTGTTCTAAATATCTTAAAGGTGTTGAAACCCGAGCAGGTAGGCTAGACAGAAATGATGATGGGTTAGACGATTTGAACTACAAGGGGTTTGATTTGTTCCGCCAGCAAGGTAGATCTATAGGTGCTGCAAACTACGACCCTATAGGGCAGGCTGAGTTCCATAAGATTCAATGGTATGTCTTCACCAATTGTGATGAAATTGAAGAACAATTGAAGTAAGTTCTTCTTCCTTTGTATACTCTGAACCCCATTTATTATTTTTTCATACCTTTTGTTCTTAACAATTGCGGTTACAGTATGCATACGGAACAGAGAATGCTGAATTATCCAAACAGTACCCCAACAACCATTGCTGAAAACTTCCCATACTGGTTTAAAACCTTTGTAAGCCCAAATCCCCCCCTTTTCTCTTTTCTTAATCACAAGACCACAATCTATTGATTGCAGCTAGCTACCCATCTCAGTCTGTCAACTTTTGGAAGCCCCCTTTTTTTATATTTCCATTTGTTTCTCTTCTCTAACTCACAGCAGCCGTGTATTATGTTTTAGGTGTCTGAACAGTTTTTGGCTGGCAGGCTTAAAAAGACTGACCATTTATATGTCCTAGGATTAGGGGCTGATGAACGTATTACTAGATATCCTGGACTCATCATTAACGGGGTTCGATACCAAATAATAATGGCTGATCAAGGGCATCGAACTCAGAATAGTGGTGTCGTTGTTCGGGCTGACCACAATGGCGAGATTATAGATTATTACGGGGTTCTGGTAGACATTATTAAGCTTCAATATTCTGGAGGGCATCGGGTGTTTGTATTCAAGTGCGAGTGGTTCAATGTGGGGGACAAGAAGAATGGAATAAGGATGGATGGACACTTGACGAGCATAAACATGGATAGAAAATGGTGTACGGAGGACCCATATGTATTGGCCAGTCAGGCTAACCAAGTGTTCTACATTGCAGATATTAAGAATGGTGGTGCATGGCATATCGTCCACAAGGTATGTCCAAGAAGTTTGTACGATGTTCCCGAGAAGGAGGAAGCGGGACATGGGGATCCAGTGTATGAAAATCAGCCATACCAACAAGATGTGGACATTTCTGATTTTAATGTAAGTGAAAGCGACTTAGCGGATTTGAGTCGTGATGACGAGGCACCAACAATCGTTACTGAGCCAGTCATACGAGCCATTGATGGACGAGCTGCAGCAATGGAAGCAAGTGATGAGGAGATAGAGGACGACACTTTAGATGACCATCATTTCACCACGAATGAAACTGAACACCCAGATGGGAATGATCCATCCTTTAGTGACGAGGAAGAAGCATAACAGTACATTAAACCCAGGCGCCCTTTATATGTTTACAGATTATTTTTTTACATAGATATGTACAGATTTTTTGGGGGCCATAGTTGTTTTTGACCAATTTTTTTGGGCCTTAGTTTCATTTTTACAGATTTTTGGGTTGATTATATGAAGAATATTGAATATAGCGTTCAAGTTTTATCGATGTTACTTGAGTCTGAAAATGGGGTTTATGTTTTCGTATATGAACCCAGGCAAAACATAAACCCAGATCGTCTCTGGTTCAATGAATTTTCATGTTTGATTGGGTTTCTGGTGCAGATTTGTAGTGTTTGTGTAGGAGGGAGACTGGGTTTAGTTCAAAAATGGTTTATATTGGCTGTCTTCTGAGCCCAATGATTAAAGGGATCAAAGCTCTTTCATTCTTTTAGTCGGGCCCGTTTTAAATTAGGTAAGCCAAGCCCTTTCCCCTCTTCTTTGTATCTGCCGAAAGGAGAACCCTAGGTCCCTCTTCTTCGAATCTGCCGACAGCCGCTACCTCTCCTATGGCGATTTCTCTCTGAACCTTCCCCGCGAAATTGAGACTCATCATTTCTGTGTAGTGTCTTCTCGTCGTTCTAGTTGTGGGAAGTTGTTTGACAGTCAGGCGCTGGTTTCAGAATCGCCATTCAGGTTTGCCGCGACTTGCATGATTCGATTTCTTCTTCGTTTGCTATGCTCTGTTTGCCGCGACATGCATGATTCGATTTCTTCTCCGTTTGCTATGCTGTGTTTGCCGCGACATGCATGATTCGATTTCTTCTCCGATTTCTTCTTCTTTTGTGATTTGGTATGTGGATTAGGGTTTGGATTTCTAATGATTCCCTCGATTTTCCGATTCTCCGAGTTGTTGTGTTTGTCGATTTTCCGATTCCCTCGATAATCGGCGTTGCACCCTTGACCTCCTCTCCTCTCCTCTCGAGGTCCCTCTGCATACTGCTGGGGTTTGTGATTTGGTTTGTCGATTTGTTTGTGATTTGGTTTGTCGATTAGGGTTTGTCGATTTGTTTGTGTTTATGTTGATGCTCTGTTTATGTTGATGCCCTCGATTCTCGATGTCCCTCATTGCTTGTTGCTCCAGATTAAGGAACACCCATGTTTGCAGCCATAAACTCTTGTACTTGGCAACACTGTATCTTCTGATTTATTGACTGTTGCACTACACTACATCTCTTGTATCTTAGTTTGGGTTGGGATTACTAATTCACCGTTTGAACATTATCCAATTGCATGCATCATCTTATTAGCTTTTCCTCTTTCCATCCATATTTCAGTGGGGGTGTATGCTTTCTAGTTTCCAGATTTGATCAAATGTAAACTATTAGTTAGGTCCCATATAATGCTCCTATTAATTTTGATGTTGTTGTGGTTTAGAGGAGTTAAGGCGATTCTTAAGTTTGCATAACAGAGTGCTTATAGACTTTTTAGTCCACTTATTGAAATCTGCTTTGCCATAGTAATATGTGGATTGATGGCTGTGGTTTTGCTTTGTTGGTCTTTGCAATTAATCTTTTTTTGCCTTCAATTGAGGTCAGCACCTACTGTGTGTTGCTTTTTGACCATTAAACCTGCCCCTATGTTGTAGGTATGCCGCCACTGAAGAAGAAGAAGGCTGCTACTGACAAGGCAGTGCCGATCCCGAATTTTTACCGGGCGACAAGATCAGGGAGGGTGCGACAAGAACCTGCTCGGTCCACCGAATCTGTAAGCGGGGGGAGTAGACGTCGAGCTGGAGCCTCAGTGAATGAGGATACTCAACGCACAGACACTGTGAATCCAGACGAACCCAATGGCAATGATGATTCCGAGGCAGAAGCATCCAATCATGAGACCGGAGAAGGTAGTAATCCAACTGGATTGGAAGCACCTGCGGCTAAAAAGAGGGGACTGTCCAAAGGGTACGAGATAATGAAGAGAACCGGAACTGGAGGAAAGATAGATGGAATCTAAGTAATGGAGAATGGGCAGTCATTCGTAGGGCCTAATGAGAGCTTGTTGAAGACAGAGTTGGGCGTCGTTACACGCCTGATGGTCCCGATACGGAAGTACTACTGGTCCAAGTTGACTGAAGCAGACAAGCACCCATTATTCAAGAAGCTAGAGGTAATTTTCGAAAACTCCTAGTTTGGCATGAAGTAGGCTAATCTGGACATTTTTTTGCTGCTGTTTGTTTGTTTTACTTGACTTGGGAAACTTCACTATCTGTTGGTAAATGAAGTATATACTTGTTGTTTATGTAGGATGAATTTGACATAGACACGGCAGGAGCAGATGCAAGGAAGATTATGGAGAAGAGAATGAAGAAGCGGTTCATCAATTACAAGTATGCGATGCACGCTCACTACCTGAAAGACCCTCAGACAGCCAGGACAGACCCTCCAGTGGACATGAACATAGAGGATTGGCATATGCTGTGTGATCACTTTGAGAGTGAAAACTTTATAGTAAGTAACACCTTCTGTTTCATCATCAATTCAAGCATGTGTAACCTTGCCTTACAATAAATGGTTGCTAATGACTTGTATTTGTCATATGCAGAAGCGAAGCCAAATAAATAAAGCCAACAAGAGTAAGCAAGTGTATGCACACACTTCTGGTGCAAAATCGCTTGATCAAAGAATATATGAGTTGGTAAGTGTTCTCGAATTCAAAGACTAATTTATACATTGAAAGAATATATGAGTAGGTACGTGTTCTCAAATTTAAAGACTAATTTATCTCTGCCTGATTGTGTAACTTTCCTTGTTTCGTGTAGGAGAAGAAAAAGAAGCAAAAGCAGCAGGAGCAGCAGCCTACTCAAGAAGAGCGGGAAACTGATATGGAGGATGCTGATAGCGTAGAGGAGGAGCCAATAGATCTCCTATTGTATGCGAAGAGGTATCAGCGGGCTGACGGTAGTTGGGTATCGGAGGAACCGCAGAAGAACTATGTGAGTTCATCCTTTTGTGCCTTGTTTGATTTTCACTGAGTTCATACCAAACCATGTGACATATATCATTACCCGTGTGTTGCTTTCAATCCTAGTTGGAGATGCAGTCCATGTGGATAGAGGCAAAGGCAGAGGGGAAGCCTATATCAGGCCGTGACATTGTTGAGAAGGTCCTCAAGAAAAAGGTGAAGTATGGACCGAAGGAGAACCCAAGATCAGCAAAGGAGCTTCAACTCCAAGAAGAATTGGAGGCAACAAGGGCTGAAGCGGAAAGAAAAGCCAAGGAGTTTGCTGAGAAGATACAGAGTCAGGAGGAGCAGCTAAAAAGCCAGGCTAAGAAGATACAACTTCAGGAAGACAAGTTAAAGAGCCAGGAGGAGAGGTTTGATACTCAAGCAGAGGCGATGAACCAGATGAAAGACGCACATGACAAGCTACAGCGTCAAGTGCTAGTCATTGCTCGCCAATTACCCCGCAAATGAACTCCTAAGTCCAAGGTAACAACACTGCCTTAGTTTGCAGAGGCAGATGAGAATGCAGGCTAGGTGTTTGATGTTTTAAGTATGTTAGTTTATGCTTTTGTGAACAAAGTTATCATGCTTTGTGTTGTGGTGAACAAGGAGTTTCATGGTTGTGTGATGTTGGACTACTTTGAATGTTTGTTTATGGTGAACAAGGCCTTAGTGGGACATGGGAATGGTCATGGATGTAATATGGTAGATGTTTTCAATTATATCTCCATGTTCAGTTTGCGGATTAAATTTCGCATTATGGAATTTGTTAAGCAGATCAAATGTGACAACAATGGAAAGTTCACATATTATGACAAGTCCATGACGAGCTAAATTCGTCATAATAGGAAAAAATGACAAAATATACTCGTCATAATAAGGATTACGACAAAAGGGCCAAGTCACAATTATAAGTTATGAGAAAATGCGTTCGTCATAATACACTGGAATGGCAACATATATTCGTCATAATAGGAAAATATGACAAAGGATATTCGTCACAACATAATTTATGACAAAATAATTTAGTCACAACAATGTGATGGAAGAGTATAAACCCAGGAATATGCCTTCAATTTATGACAAAACATGTAGACAAACTTTTCAATTTGTCACATTATAAACATTTCCTGACAAACACCTGATTTGTCATATTAGGATTCTGACAAATTGTGAACCTCTCATGACAAATATTATTCGTCACAATATACTGTTATGACAAACTATGATCGTCTAATATGACCAACATATTTCTCACAAGTATCAATATATGACAAAATTAATGACAAACAGGTTTCGTCATATTATCTTTGTTTGTCACAATAGACTAACCAGAACCTCATATGTAACGGAAGTATTTGTGACAAATGTGTTTCAAAAATTTGCCATATTTGACCTATCCTGACGGCGATAAAATGACAAAAGTGTGTGACAAACCATTTTGTCATATTAGGTCAACTATGACAAAACAGGAATATAATATGAAGAAATATCCCCGTCATAACAGGCCGAATTTGTTGTAGTGCCCTTTGGAATCTGGCAAAAATGGACCCAGAATAAATTTGCCCAAATCGGCGCTTAATGGACTTAATCATCGTTGAAGAATAGCATCAGGCCGAATCCGTGATCTGTAGCCTTCAAAATCCAAAGAAAATGGCCTTTCGTCGCCCAAAAAATTACGAAAATGCCATCTGAAAATAAATTGTCCCAAATCGCTGCTTAATGGACTTATCATCCGTGAAGAATAGGATCAATAGACTTCATTATCTGTGGAGAATAGGCTCGGCCTGGTTCCAAGATATGCGGCCTCCAGAATCGAAAGAAAATGACATTTCGGATAAATCGCCCGAAATCTGTGATGGTACCCCTTTGGAATCTGCCAAAAATGGTCCCAGAATAAATTCGCCCAAATCGCCGCTTAAAGGACTTAATCATCGTTGAAGAATAGCCTCATGCCGAATCCGTGATCTGTAGCCTTCACAATCCGAAGAAAATGGGCTTTCGTGGCCCAAAAAATTACGAAAATGCCATCAGAAAATGAATTGGCTCAATCGGTGCTTATTGGACTTATCATTGGTGGAGAATAGGATCAATAGACTTCATTATCGGTAGACAATAGGCTCGGCCTGATTCCATGACCTGCAGCCTCCAGAATCAAAAGAAAATGGCATTTCGGATAAATTACCCGAAATCTGTTATGGTACCCCTTTCGAATATGGAAAAATGGTCCCGGAATAAATTCTCCCAAATCGTCGCTTAATGGACTTAATCATCGTTGAAGAATAGCCTCAGGCTGAATCCGTGATCTGTAGCCTTCAAAATCCAAAGAAAAAGGCCTTTCGTTGCCCAAAAAATTACGAAAATGCCATCCGATAATAAATTGGCACAAATCGGTGCTTATTGGACTTATCATATGTGAAGAATAGGATCAATAGACTTCATTATCGGTGGAGAATAGGCTCGGCCTGATTCCATGATATGCAGCCTCCAAAATCGAAAGAAAATGACATTTCGAATAAATCGCCCGAAATCTGTGATGGTACCCCATTGGAATCTGCCAAAAATGGTCCCAGAATAAATTCGCCCAAATCGGCGATTAAAGGACTTAATCATCGTTGAAGAATAGCCTCATGCCGAATCCGTGATTTGTAGTCTTAAAAATCCAAAGAAAAAGGCCATTCGTCGCCCAAAAAATTACGAAAATGCCATCCGAAAATAAATTGGCCCAAATCGGTGCTTAATGGACTTATCATCCGTGGAGAATAGGATCAATAGACTTCATTATCGGTGGAGAATAGGCTAGGCCGGATTCCGTGATCTGCATCCTCCAGAATCGAAAGAAAATGGCATTTCGGAAAATTCGCCAAAATCTGTGATGGTACCCCTTTGGAATCTGGCAAAAATGGACCGAGAATAAATTTGCCCAAATTGGCGCTTAATGGACTTAATCATCGTTGAAGAATAGCCTTAGGCCGAATCCGTGATCTGTAGCCTTCAAAATCCAAAGAAAAAGGCCTTTCGTTGCCCAAAAAATTACGAAAATGAAATCCGAAAATAAATTGTCCCAAATCAGTGCTTAATGGACCTATCATCCGTGGAGAATAGGATCAATAGACTTCATTATCGGTGGATAATAGGCTCGGCCTAATTCCGTGATCTGCAGCCTCCAGAATCGAAAAAAATGACATTTCGGAAAAGCCGTAGAAATCTGTGATGGTAGCCCTTTGGAATCTAGCAAAAATGGACCCAGAATAAATTTGCCCAAATCGGAGCTTAATGGACTTAATCATCGTTGAAGAATAGCCTCAGGCCGAATCCGTGATCTGTAGCCTTCAAAATCCAAAGAAAATGGCTTTTCGTCGCCCAAAAAATTACGAAAATGCCATCCGAAAATAAGTTGGCTCAAATCGCTGCTTAATGGACTTATCATCCGTGAAGAATAGGATCAATAGATTTCATTATCGGTGGAGAATAGGCTCGGCCTGATTCCTTGATATGCAGCCTCCAGAATCGAAAGAAAATGACATTTCGGATAAATCGCCCGAAATCTGTGATGGTACCCCTTTGGAATCTGCCAAAAATGGTCCCAGAATAAATTCGCCCAAATCAGCGCTTAAAGGACTTAATCATTGTTGAAGAATAGCCTCATGCTGAATCCGTGATTTGTAGTCTTTAAAATCAAAAGAAAAAGGCCTTTCGTCGCCGAAAAAATTAACAAAATGCCATCCGAAAATAAATTGGCCCAAATATGTGCTTAATGGACTTATCATCCGTGGAGAATAGGATCAATAAACTTCATTATCGGTGCAGAATAGGCTCGGCCTGATTCCGTGATCTGCAGCCTCCAGAATCGAAAGAAAACTGCATTTCGGAAAAATCACCAAAATCTGTGATGGTACCCCTTTGGAATCTGGCAAAAATGGACCCAGAATAAATTTTCCCAAATTGGCGCTTAATGGATTTAATCATCGTTGAAGAATAGCCTCAGGCCGAATCCGTGATCTGTAGCCTTCAAAATCCGAAGAAAATGGCCTTTCGTCGCACAAAAAATTACGAAAATGCCATCAGAAAATAAATTGGCTCAAATCGGTGCTTATTGGACTTATCATCCATGGAGAAAAGGATCAATAAACTTCATTATCGGTGGACAATATGCTCGGCCTGATTCCGTAATCTGCAGCCTCCAGAATCGAAAGAAAATGGCATTTCGGAAAAATTGCTGAAATCTGTGATGGTACCCCTATAGAATCTGGCAAAAATGGAACCATAATAAATTCGCCCAAATCGGCGCTTAATGGACTTAATCATCGTTGAAGAATAGCCTCAGGCCGAATCCGTCATCTGTAGCCTTCAAAATCTAAAGAAAAAGGCCTTTCGTCGCCCAAAAAATTACGAAAATGCCATCCGAAAATAAATTAACCCAAATCGTTGCTTAATGGACTTATCATCCGTGGAGAATAGGATCAATAGACTTCATTATCGGTGGAGAATAGGCTCCGCCTGATTCCGTAATCTGCAGCCTCCAGAATCGAAAGAAAATGGCATTTCGGAAAAATCGCTGAAATCTGTGATGGTACCCCTATAGAATCTGGCAAAAATGGAACCATAATAAATTCGCCCAAATTGGCGCTTAATGGACTTAATCAGCGTTGAAGAATAGCTTCAGGCCGAATCCGTCATCTGTAGCCTTCAAAATCTAAAGAAAAAGGCCTTTCGTCGCCCAAAAAATTACGAAAATGCCATCCGAAAATAAATTAGCCCAAATCGTTGCTTAATGGACTTATCATCCGTGGAGAATAGGATCAATAGACTTCATTATCGGTGGAGAATAGGCTCCGCCTGATTCCGTGATCTGCAGCATCCAGAATCGAAAGAAAATGGCATTTCGGAAAAATCGCCAAAATCCGTGATGGTACCCCTTTGGAATCTGGCAAAAATGGACCCAGAATAAATTTGCGCAAAACGGCGCATAATGGACTTAATCATCGTTGAAGAATAGCCTCATGCCGAATCCGTGATCTGTAGCCTTCAAAGTCCGAAGAAAATGGCCTTTCATCGCACAAAAAATTACGAAAATGCCATCAGAAAATAAATTGGCTCAAATCGGTGCTTATTGGACTTATCATCCATGGAGAAAAGGATCAATAGACTTCATTATCGGTGGACAATAGGCTCGGCCTGATTCCGTAATCTGCAGCCTCCAGAATCGAAAGAAAATGGCATTTCGGAAAAATCGCTGAAATCTGTGATGGTACCCCTATGGAATCTGGCAAAAATGGACCCATAATAAATTCGCCCAAATTGGCGCTTAATGGACTTAATCATCGTTGAAGAATAGCCTCAGGCCGAATCCGTGATCTGTTGCCTTCAAAATCTAAAGAAAAAGTCCTTTCGTCGCCCAAAAAATTACGAAAATGCCATCCGAAAATAAATTGATCCAAATCGGTGCTTAATGGACTTATCATCCGTGA